GCAATGTGCCCATTTGGGCCACAGGGTAGATCTTTCCAGAAAAAGGACGGGTTAGCCAGACACAAACAGGGAGAGCCCTGCCCAGAGCAGCCAGGGGGAAACGTGCCGGGGGGCCGGTGGGCAGGGAGAGCCCAAGGGAGCCAGCCAGGAACCTAGGCAAGACTGGGCTCAGGGCAAGCCAAGGGTGGCTGGAGGCCTAGGGAATGGTGACAGAAAGGAAACTGAGGCACTTAAAACAGAGGAGCTGGCCTGGGAGGGGTGAAAGAGCTGTAGACTCTACTTAGATAAAGAGAATATATATTCTGCAATTCTGTAGCATACATGTATTCCATATATCCTTTAGGCCAAACTTCCTCAGCTTTTCCATCTTTCTAGACCCAGTAAGTTTGGGCCAAACAGCCTTTAACTCAAGCTGTGTGATGACTGAAGTTTGGGAAGGTTCTGGGACCTTATAGGTGAATCATTCTACCTTTTTCCTCTTCTCCCCCCAGGCCCAGTGAAAAGGAAGGGGATAGTGGGCATCTTTGCGGACTGTCTCCCCAAGGGCAAAAGGAGGGCAATCCCCCTTATGGAGCTCAGAAAGAAGTTCAGGGGTTTTGTGGCGGGCGGTGCTTATGGTGAAAGGGGTCCATGAATGATTTCTTTCCCTTCTCATTAGGTAGAGAGGGGGAGGAGTAGAGAAGGGACCAGTAACAGAAAAGGGAGCTGCTGTGTGTGGCTTGGGAGAGGAGGAGCTCTGGGGGCCCTGATAGTGACAGGCGAGGTATAAATAGCTTGAGCCCTTCGGCTCATGTTCTGCCGGCTGCCTGTGACGAGGTGCTCAGGAATTCCACTCTCTTATTGGCACCCCACCTCCCTATCTCCAGAACTCTCATCCCCCCATGCCACCTTTGTCCCATGGCCAAAACTAACCATCAGGCATCAGTGCTGTCTGTCTGCTTGAGAGGCTGAGCTCTCCTATGGAGAGATGCCCAGCTCCTGGGGACACATGACACATCACTGGGTCTCACAAGGGAACTGTGTGTGTGTGTAAAAAGGTAGACTTTTGGCACCCAATCTAAGGTGCCAGCTCAGGGCTCAGCAATGTTGTCTTTGAAGCCCTGATGAAGAAACTGAGGTACAGATCTGAGAAAGAATGAATTCCTCTCCCTGAGCTGCTGGGGAGGAGAGAAGGGGGTAAGGTGGGTTTGCTTGGAGCTGACAGCACCTTTACAAACCCTAATGGCCTGTTTTGTGGCATTACCTGAGGTCCCTCAGTCAGTTGAGGGCCTCTGTTGAGGTGGGCAAGTTCAGAGGGAAGCCAACAAGTGGAGAAAAAACTCCTGAGACCAGCCTCCCCTCTCCCGCTTCTCAGTCCCTCTCTCCAGAGGTCCATGTGCTGGCCCCAGAGGAGTGAGAGTGAATGGTTGGCAGAGGAGCATGCCCAGTGCCAAGGATGGTTCCCAGCACCCTTCTCACCCCCCACCCCCAGAAACCCGAGCTTGTTGCTCTCCAGGATAAATCCGGGCCTGACTCAGGCCCCAGCCAGCCAGTCACAGTCAGCCTGACCCAGGCGCAGGTGGGTGACTCAGTCCTCAATATAGCCCATGAGTCCAGAGCCCAGGCCCCAGGCCCTGCCATGAGGGCTGGAACAGACCGTGCGCAATGCTGGTCCTGGGGCCTGCCAAGTGCGGCCCCCTCCCGGAACAGGGCTGATGTGTTCCTCCTCAAGCCAGGCAGGGGCACACAGAGGGGCTTACAGGGGGTTTCATCAGCTGACTATTTGGGGCAGTGCTGGCTGGGGCCACAGGCCGTTTATAGCCCCCTGACTCACCACCAGCTGACCTGTCTCAGGAGCCCAGGTTGCCTGGTCTTTCACCTGGCCCTCCCTTTCCCATCAAGGGGCACTGCTCGTCAGCCACCAACATTGGCCATATATATATATATTTTTTTGTGAGGAAGATCAGCCCTGAGCTAACATCTGCCAATCCTCCTCTTTTTGCTGAGGAAGACTGGCCCTGGGCTAAACACCTGTGCCTATCTTCCTCCACTTTATATGGGACACTCCCACAGCATGGCCTGACAAGCGGTGCATGTGTGCGAGCTGCCGCAGCGGAGCGTGTACACTTAACCGCTTGCGCCACCAGGCCGGCCCCCAACATTGGCCATATTTAACTTGTGCTGAGCAGAATCTGAGTGAGCGAGGCCAATGGCTCATGTCTGAAAATCCTGTTTTTCCTGGAGCTAGGGACATTTCCACAGTCACCTGTGATGATACCAGGCTGCCCAGGCTCACAGCAGGTGCTTTAATCAATCAGTGGTACTGACCCAGATGCCAGGGACAGTATGGTAGGGTGGAAAGACCCGTAGGCTGAATTCAGCCTCTTCACTCTGGCTCTCTAATCTTAGGCAGGTAATGTAACTCGTTTGCCTCAGTTTCCTCATCTGTAAAATGGAGTTAATTTTTTATGTGTGAAGATGAAAGGAGATAACATATAAAATGATTAACATTTTATGTGTGCCTGGCAGCTAATAAGTGATCAGAAAAAAGTAAGTTTGCTTCTTCTACTGGTATGTTCAGGACCATGTGGGTTCTGGTGAGCTAGGCCTTCCTCATGGCTCTGTCTCCATCCCCTGTAGAGTCCACTGCCAGGATCTCCACACTGCTCCCCTCTTCCCTTCCCTGCATCCTAACACTCCACCTGCCAGAATCAGAACCGGAGTACTTCTGATCTTTAGAACCCACCCTGCCCCCCAATAGCAGCTGGTCCTTGACAGGAGTGGCAGGTGGTGTGGGCTACCATGTGGCCTGGGAAGGGAAAGCAGAGGGGGCCGTTGTGCAGGGAGAAAGCAGAAAGGAAGTAGTTACGCAGAGGGTAGTAGAGGGGGGAGATGAAGGCCCCTGAAGGTGTTTTGAGTCTTTGGTTGTATCTGTACCTCTGCCTGGGGGTGTGTCTGCCTGTGGCTTCTCAGAGACACCACTAGAGACTTAGAGCTAGCTCAAGCAACCGTTGCACATTCAAAACAGAGACCTCTTTAATCTACTCTGGTAACAGTGTATCAACAAGACCAGGAGGCACAAAGCCCAAACCAATGAAGAGGATGGCCATCTAAAATGAGCCAACAGGGGCCAGTGTCCTAAAGGGAAGAACTCTGTATTCTAAGCAAACCGAACACATTCCTGTCATTGCCCAGGTTCTAGGTTCGGGTCTGGCAAGGACTAGATAAAGTCCTGAGTGGGGGCCGACTGCCTACCAGATTATGACCTCCATCTTGGCTTCTAATTCCAAGTCAAACCAGTGATCCCCGGTGGTAGGTAATCTTCCAGTCCTTTCCACCACATATATTCTCCAGCCAACTGGTGGCCGGAGTAAGTGGATAATAAGCAGGGTCTCACTACACTCAACTGCAAGGGGCCAGTGGCCAAGGGGGTTGTGAAGGAATTTCTTCAATTAGGTTACAACTGAGAACACACAATCGAATATAACTGAGGGTAGTGCTTCTCAAATTTTATTGTGTATACGGCTCAACAGGGGATCTTGTTAAAATGCAGATTCTGTGTCAGTAGGTCTGAGGTGGGGCCTGACATTCTGCCTTTCTAACAAGCTAACAATGCTGATGCTGCTGGTCCATGGACCATACTTTTTAAATAACAAGGGGCTAGGGCCCCCTAAATCAGTGCTGTCTTCAAAGAGGAGTCATTTAGAGGGAGGTACAAGAATGGGTGGCACTGCCTTCAATCTACCCAGGTGCAGCTCTGTTATAGGGGCTGGTCATGATTTCAGCACTGGCCCCAGGCCTGCTAGGATGCACTCCCAGTTCAGCCTTGTCACTCTTCTGGGCTGCACACAATTTTAAAATCTCCTAATTCTAAATGTCCTTGCTACTCTCCCTAAGAAAAGGCTGGAGAAGAAATGAATCCATTTAGTGCTTAGCAGTGCCCACCACAGTACACGTCCTATAGATATGTGTTGCTTTGGATATTTGGGTGAATGAAACAAACTGGAAAGGAGGCAGAGAGAGGGGTCCCAGGAAGCCAGCAGTCATGGGGTCCATTCTGTCCACTGTGGCTTATGAATACACTTGGGGGCTTTCATAAGAAACATTCATGATGAGAAAAACCAATAACAAATGTTTCCACAGAAATGAAGGTATACAAGGACACTTGTAAATTATCCTCATCATTCTGCTTGTCCCCACTTAGATCCATTCTCAGTTCCCTGCCTCTGCTCCAGGAGGCTGACCCTGAAAGATTACATCACCTGGGCACCTCTGTTCTCTGGCTGCCAGTGGGGATCAGCCAATGAGAGGCACCAACAGGAAACTGGCAGGTGGGAAGAGAGGGTGGAGGAGTACATAGACTTCCCACTTCATTAGGGCTCTGACAAGGGCCGCATCCCCCTGTGGCCACCATGTGTGTCTGGGGCCCCTGTTCAGACCCCCAGCTCTTGCTACCTCCCTTTTCCCCTTCAGGCCTGGGACGGTAGCCACTTCCCACTGTTGCTGGTGCCGCTGGACTTTGCTATTCCTTGTTGGTTCTCCTAACTATGCCTTCTGTACACAGCCCCTTCATTAAACATTCCTCAGTTAAAGCTTTTGAGTGTTTACTGCCAGGACCCTGAGTGATTAATAAGGCATCTCTGAGAGCAAATCCCTTCAGAAATCATAAGGACCAAGCCACGCAGGCTCACACGCAGATCTTCTCAGGGTGTCCTTCTCACAGTAGATGGGTGTGGGCAAGGATCCTAAGGGCAGATCATTTGGCCCTCCTCACACAAAGTAACCAGTTCATTCCACTTCTCTGTACTCAGGTGAGTTCCTTGAGATAAGGTTAATATGTACAGACCAATCCATCTGCGATTCAGCTGGCAGCACAGGAGCCAGCCTCATTTCTGAGGTCATTTGTAGGCTGAGAAATCATATTTAGGGGCCAGACCTTTATGTGAGGTAAATGATCAAAGGGGAACCACTTTGTTCTGGTTGTGTTGTGAGGTATTTAACAAATAAAAAGCCACGCAGTCTCATGTAATTAGGTTGATATTTAATTACAAGGAACCCAGGTTCTTATACAAGGCAGGAGATGGGAGCCAGCAGCTCCCCATAAGCCTTTCCAGCCTGGGTGACTGAGGCTAAGGAGATGGGAACATGTGGGACATATGGGTGGGGCGGGGGCTCTGGCACAGTGTGTCCTGCCAAAAGTTGGGGTAGTGGCCACCAGGGATCTGCCCCCTCAGCTGGCCCAGGTCTGCCATCACTCCGTGAGGCAGAACTCTGTCTCCTGCTGTCGCATGTTGGGTAACACATACAGAGCCACAGCTGCAATAGCCAAGAACACCATAGGCTTCCACATCCCAAACATGTTCTGTGGGGACCAAAGACAAATGGTGAGTGCCTAGCCTTCTGAACTCTTCCCTAAGCCAGAGATCCCCTGCCTACTGGTGCTGGAGAGACACCTCAGGAACATCATCGTCAAGTCCCTCTTACCTCCTGAGTAACCGCTGGAGACAATGTGGTCTTAGTCCTGGCACCACTAGATATCTGGAACAACACCATGTGTATCACCTGAGGTGACTGCCTGTGTTCACGCCCCATGGGATGAGAATACCAGTTCCTGTGTGTGAAGGCAAGCTCAGGAGCCAGACTTCAAAGAGTATCCAAGTGGTTGCAATGAGAAAGGATCAGATGTCATGGCAAGAAAAAGAAGGTAAATTTGGGCCTTTGGGATAAGCAGCAGCACCTCATTAGCTTTATGGAGAAGAAATGAACTCAGAGTCAAGAGGATGATAAGACTGTGAAGAAAGTGCACCACAGGGTGCAGGCAAATATGAGGCTCTGAGGTGGCCCAAACCTTTTAAGGAGAATGATGTTGGTTCAAGGAAATTCAAGGAAGCCAGTCACTGGCCCTGGGAGGCAAAAGCCAGGGTCATTAAAACACCTCCAGTCACTGGTGTGTTGACTGACTTCCTGGGCATGTGCTAGAGTGTGCTGAGGCTTCCAGACTGCTGACCATAGCAAATTCTGTTGGTTTGTGGGACAACAAAAAAGCATCATTTAGGGAACATGAAATCTTAAACAAGAAAATACATGCTTGGGGAAACAGTTCCTATTTTTTTTTACTGTATTACTTGAAAGACAGAATTTGGGTTCTGAATCATAAGCTATGGCATAAAGTAACAAACAGAAGGATGGTTTTAGGTAAGGATGGAGTATAACTCATTAATGTTAAGAATGCATTTGCTCAGAGAATAATGGATCTAAAAAGGTTTTTAGCCAACTATAAAGAGCAAAGAAAATCTCCTACATTTGTAGAAATAGTTACTAAGAAGAACAGAAGATATGAAATGGAAAGCAAAATGATGTTGGAGGTAGATATACAGAGTAATTTATGTAAGAAAATAACTGAAAAGGGAGTTGGAAAAAATATTTACATGCTCAGATGCTGATATCCTAATACACATTGCTAAAAATGTCAGTCTGATGTTCTTAAAGGAGGAAAGAGCTGAAACCCATAAATGTGAACTGGTGCCCTTTATACCAGGCAGAGGCAAGATTCTAGAACTGTTGAGTAAAGGGCTGGACTGGGTGTCCCAAAGGAGTAAGGCTTTCCTTTCAGACTGGTTACTAAATTGACAGATCAAGAAAATCATGTTTTTGGACTTAAGGTGTTTGACAAGATTTTCCATGATATCCTTGAAGAGAATGTGAGGACAGAAGAGTAGGATGACAGCCCAGTTTGTTGTATGACCATTTGTTCAGCGACCAATGAACTGGATGAAACAGCCTGCAGAGACGACACTCTAGAGGCTCGGCCCTCATCTGGACCGTGGATGAAGATATGAAGATGGGCTTGTCACCCCTGAGGATTATGTGAAGCTGGTGGGGAAAGTGAATATTTTGAAACCACACAGTCAAGATTTAAAAAAAAACAACAAACTTCACAGGTTAGATCAATGGATGATCTCTAATAAAGATGAATGGAAAATTCTGCCTTGGCTCCAAAAAATCAACTGCAGGTAGAGAATGGGGAGAGGGGGCCTAGCATATGCAGTGTGCAAAGGGGTTTTATAAATAATACATGAAATAAGTTAACAATGTGATATTAACTATCAAGAGAGCTAATGTGATCCGAGGCTGCCTAAAGAGAAGTATGGTGTCTTCCTAATTACTTGGAAGCAACCAAGGAGAATTCCTCAAAATAAGGAGAGATGATAAGGGGAAACAGGATTGGAATTTTATCTGTTGCTAATGTTGAGTCCTTAGAATCTGATTCACAATTTCCTGGCTGGTTACTTAACCTCTGTATACCTTGGTTTTATCACATATAAAATGATAATAATAATAGCTACCTCATGGGGTTGTTGCAAGGATTAAATGAGTAAATACAGGGAAGGCAATTAGAACACTGCCTGGCACATAGCATGTGTTATATACTAAGTGTATGCTCTTTTTATTATTTATATGGTGTTTTATCATTCATAGAGTACTTTTATATACATGGACTCATCCGATCCTCACATGAGGAAGGCAGAGGTTTTATCATCCTTTGCTTACATTTGAAGAAACTAATGTTCAGATTATGCATTTTGCCCACTGGGACAAAGCTAAGAAGTAGAGACAGATTCACCCAAGTTCTCTGACCACTGTCAGCCACACTTTCTACCCTACTATGCTGCCTCAATTCCTGGATGGGGAGCTGCGTATCGGGGCGTAGCCAGGCTCTGGGCATAACAGGCTCCCCCAGGAAGACCCTTACCCAGGATTTCCTGCCTCTCACTGATTGTAAGGGTTTGGGCTTGGCTGAGTTTGAGCTGGTGAAAGGTTATGGCTGAATGCTTTGGGTCTCATCCCAAAGGGACTCAGAAATCTGGGAGTGTGCAGGAGATGAACAGGTATAGGGAGAGACCCCTGTCACTAAAGGAGTTAAAAACTGTCTGTGGGGAGTAACTAAGAAGAAAGGAGAAGGGTTGAAGAGGGGAAAAAAAGTGAGAGGGAAAAAAGGAAGGAGAGAAAAGGAAATGGTGTAAGTGCTACCAAGAAATGCTTCCGCTGCCACTCTGAAGCTGCGCAGTAAGCCGACTACACTCCACTTACAGGGATGTGAGAAGAGCAGGTGGGGGGTGGGAGCGGCAGGGAGAGCATGAGAAAGGAGCCAAAACAGGTCAAGAGAGAACAGTTTGTGGACTCCAGAAGGCAGGTTTTACCTTGGGCCATAAGACCACATTCTGCCTCCTGAATTTGGTATCCTGTTGACAGACCAGATTACATGGACTGAGGCCAACTGGAAGGTGCCCAGAATATATCAGCCTTGATTCCCTGAGAACACTTGCATCTCTGGTTAGTGGAAACTTTTCACCAATACCACATTCTCTCCAGAAAGCCTAGCTTGGGAAGCCAATTACAATAAAATCTGACCCCCAACAGGGATAAACAGAGAACTACCAAATATTTCCTGGCATTCGTGTTCTGACTTTTCTAGAGACCAGAAGTCCCAAACCAGAGGACTTTTCAGCAAAAAGTATATAATATGGTAGGGGTTTTGCCAAGGTTGAAGGATGAACTGAGGCTGCCCTCAGTTCAAATGCCCCGGGGGTCACAGCTCTCCAGACCCCCTCTCTCACCCAGTGTGGGAGGCAGTGATTCCTAACTTTGCCATCTGGGCAGCAACAGTGGTGAGAGCTTGGCTCTGGGGCTAAGCAAAGACAAAGAGCACCCAGGCTGGCCTTGCGGACAAACGCCAGCTCATCAGCAGTAGTCAGGCAGCTTTGAAAGTAGCAACAGAGATCATCCAAATTTCTCCCAGCCAGAAGACAGAAACTCAAATCATGTCAATGGTAAGCCTTCCAACTCCCTATGTATTACGAAGACATGCTCAGAGATGTTACGGACTTTGCAATAGCCCAAGGAAAAGCCAGGGCTAAAACTCAGACCCAAGTATCATCTGTTGTAAAATGGCAACAGCAAGAAGCAAGCAGCTGAGAGAAAAGGGGAAGAGGAGAGGCCAGGGCAACCTGCACCTCCCTGTATCCCTCAGGAGAGGACGCAATACCAGTACCTGCGTTAGGACGACGTCTCAGCCCACCAGCACCAGAGCAAAGCCGATATGACCACCAGGCCTACGAGAGGCAAGGAGAAGATGGGGGGGTTGGGGGCAGGGGATGGCTGCAACATATCAAATGAGAAAGAAGCACGAGGAGAGACCAGGAGATGAGAGGTGGTATAAAAAGACATAAACACATGAATCCAACAGATAATGAAGATGACAAAACAAAGGGAAAAGAGAAAGAGATCAAGAGGTTAAACAACAGGTAAGTCAGAGCAGCAGTTTCTTCTCTGCCACCTGGGCCTGGTTCTTCCCACTGGAAGCCTGTAGGAGATGCAAAACTGAATGGGTTAGGCAGCAGCTTAGCTCCAAATCAGGTGCTGGGTCATTTTCTGGCTTGTCATATCCTCTCATACCTTGTCAAGTAGGGCTTATTTGCACTTAGACCTTTCTTGTAAGTCACTAACTCTAGAAAAGTAAAGCTCCAGAGAGTAAAGCTGGGCTCTCTGAGATGAAAGAAGGATGTATACTTTGCCTGGGTCACCCTAAGAAGAGCTAGTCTCCTGCCAGGCCACCTGTGCCTGTTAGCCCACTTGTTCTGGCTGCTTTCCACCAAGTCTCAGTGTTCTGGGCTCTGGTCCCTGTGATCCCCTAGAAGTCTAATGCTGTCATTGTGAGACAAAATGCACTAAAACAAGCTAACAATGGAGAAGGGCTAGTTCTTTGACGCAATAATCTTCCAGAGAGAAACTGAGTTTGAAGGTGGTAACACATATGCCAGTAGAGTTGCCAGCAAAAGATGCAGGACTCACTGGGGCAAAGGGACACCTCCATATGGAGACATAATGAATGTGCTTGACTTTGAAGTAGAAAAATCAGGTCTGGCGTTTAGAAATGTAGCACTCAAGGCAAGGAAATCTATGAGGCTCTGACCCAGCATGTGGTAGAATATGACGAATTCAAAGCAATATAACACTGGGCAAGAGCCTGCGGCTGCTCCTAGTTTTCACATCCTAAGTAATGGTTCTCTGCCACAGGGTTAACAGACACCTGCACGCTGGATCCTTAGCCAGTGCTGCAGACTCAACTGCCGGAAAATTCCAGATATCCTTAGAGTTGACTGGGACATCCCACCACAAAAGACTTGTTTTCTTCCCTGGTGTTTAGAGGGACAGAAAGAACCTGTACTGTAAACTGCAGATTTATTCAAGAAGTACTCAAACTCCTCAGGGAACCAGAGCCCCCAGTTATCCTCAACTGGGACAGGAATTCAGGGGTACGTACCTGTACAGATGTACCAGTTGCTAAAATACAGAAATACTTTCGCACGGTTGTAAATTACCCAGGATACTCCCACCCAACTTTTCAAGATCCAGTAACTTAGGGGTTAGGCCTCTGGCTGGTCCCCCTGGACTGGTCAATGCTCCTGCTGTACAGACTGAAATATTTTGACTATCACTTCTGATCATCCCCAGCCCCTACCTTCATGCTCTGTAATATATAGAGCTCAGTGGGCGACACCAGCCTCCCCAGACACCTAACAGCAACAACAAAGGTCAAACCTAAGAGGGCACCATGGGAAAGCGGGACTGAGTGACTTGCCCAGGCTGACAGAAATGTCCTGAAGAAGGCCTTGCACTGTCAGTGTCCTTAGTGCAGTGCTAAGGGGAGAGTGAAGAGCCCTCCAGACATAAGTAACAAGGGCTAGCATGTAAATGAAAAGAAGTAAGACTCCAATGACCCCACCTTGGTTCCCAGAAAAGGTGGTCTTTGTGAGACAGTTCCACAGCAAATTGGTCTAAGCCTACCATTTCCCGCAGAGAGACTGCTCTCTCCAGTCCCGTCTCCATTTCCACTTTCCCCGAGTGCTATGGCTCAGAGCTTGCTGGCTTCTACTCTTGTAGGAGTCCATCCTAGGGCTGGTCACCCCTGAACACTGGGGCACCTTGGCCCAAGAGCCCACTTCCCACTTGATCCAGCCTTTGGCTGCGGTTACCTTATTGCTCTCAGAAAGTTTGAGGGGGTTGTTTTCCTCTGAAGCTTCAGGGCAAGAGTCATCATCTTCTTCATCTTCATTGTCTTCTTCCTTGCCCTCCTGGTCTTGGAACTCTTCTTGTCCCTCCTCTGGATCTTCTGTGGACTTAATCTCTATAGGATCTGGTGGCTCAGAAACTAGTTCTTCCCAGGACTCTTCCTTCGTTTCCTCTTCCATTTCCTCCTTCTTTTGGTCGTCCATTTCCTCTTTCTTTTCCTCTTTTGCTAGTTCATCTAAATCTTTGTGGCTGGCCTTGTAGTACAGCACCACCTCCAGACTCTGTGGGGTGGAGGCAGGGCAGGATGGGGGATGCTGTTACCTGCAAAGATTCCTACCCTCTTGACAATGCTGACCTATCTCAAGAACACTCTGCTTCCCAGCATGACACAATGCGTGGGCAGCACTGTATTCTGGGACTAAGTCGATCTCCCTGTGCACAGTGTGGAGGGCAGTCACACCCAGCCCCTCTGGACTGATACATCCATCTGGCCATTAGCCATTTCAGATAGCTATCAGAGCTAAAGATTCTTGAGCTCTGCACCTCAACTGCTGCTTCCTACCCCTGCATGGCCACTCCTATCTTACCCCATCTTCTTTCACTTATGTGTACACAACTGCTTTGATTAAATCCCTCTCTGGGGCATGTGACCCGGGAAGAACAGGGGCTCCAGAAAATTGGGCTGGGCTAATTGAAGCAGTCGTCCAGCCTAGGGGCTGTGGTCCTTTCAGGCTGTAACTCCAGGGAGGAGTGTCTGTATGCCACTCTCCCCTTAACTTCACAGGAAAAGGGAGTACCAAATTGCTCCTAAGATGGAACTACTCTAGACATGTTCAAGATACCAGAAGCTTCTCTACAAATACCTTACCTGGTCGGAATGGCAGTGGAGATGATTTTTCTTCCCAGGATCTCCTCTACCTTTCTGCTTATCTGGCCACTAAGGTTACTACTCACCTTTCTGGTCTCAAAGCTGCCCTCAGGACTGTCCAGGCATGGCTTGGTCACCTTTTTATTTTTAACCCCATTGGCATTCCTGTTCATGTTCTTATTGCCGTTCTTTCCCTTGGTTTCTTTGGTAACAGAGGACCTCTTCTCTTTGAGCTGGCGAAGCTCTTCCTGGCAGCACTGCAGCTGCCCCTCCAACTGCTCCTGCACTGCCAAGAGCCGGCCCTGCTCGTCCATGCTAGCCTGGTACTGCAGCTGCAGCTCCCGCAGCTTGGTCTGCAGGTCTTTGATCTGTTGGTAGTGGAGGGCCGGTTACCCCCAGCTGGGCCTACGTGGGCAACCTGGACCCTGCCTGGGGGTCACCGCCTCAGAAATGTCCCTGCTAAAGCCCATGGGGAAGTGGACAATAAAGAAAACATTCAACCGTGGAAAACGAGCCTCTAAAGCAGTTTATAAAGAGTTTCTCCCTAACTTGAGGCACCTGATTTACATCTGACATGATCAAAAAAGGACGATTTAAATTATGTTTTACTGTGACCTGTCTAGGGCATAACTAAACGGCTACCCCTTCTGCAGCTCGGGGCTTTACTTTACAGTTGTTTTCGATGGGAACTCCTACTTCACCCAAGCTATTTCTCTAACAGGTACAATCACCTAAGGAAGTGTGTTGTACATTCCGGAGAGTGAACCTGGGCTCCTGCACCTTGCCCTGGAAACAGAGGCAAGTTCCAACCTTGCTCCCTAATCTCTGGTTTTGTCTTTCCTGTCTTCTGGCAGCACATCATGGCCTCCTCGGTAGGTACCAATATTAAGCAACCTAGGCCCATGTGTTTATTGCTATCTGAACCTCTCCCACGCATACACAGTGACCCCCACTGGACTGTGGACTACTCTTGGCCAGAGACAATGCCTTCTGTCCCATTTCTAATGGATGCAGAGCACTCTTCTTAGCATTATGAGAGATCTAAAAGAAGGAGATATGGCCCTGTCATTGAGGTGCTTGTAATCCAGTTAGAGATACAAGACAAATACACAAAAAATAACTAAAGAAAACTGGCAGGTGAAAAAATACAACTCTATAGAAGTGCTCTAGGACAGAGGAAAAGAGAGGATAGAGGTGGCAAAGGGAAAAAGAGAAATATTATTCAGAGTCTTGATGATCAGTAAATGCCAGCATGGTGGGCACCTGAGAAATGTCCCTCAGGGATGCAGTGGACCGCCCAGCCTCCTGGGACTCAGTCCCTGCTCTGTCCCTGTGACCAGGAAGAGGGCATCTATGCAGAGCTGGTGGTGAGCTCTGTCCCTCTCTCTCCAGCCTCTCTGAAATACCTATGACCTCCACTGGCTCTAGGGACTCCTAGAAGAAGCCCCACCCCCCTGACAGCAGTTACCTCATTCTTGTCATTTTGGGAGGTAACAGGCTTCTCCAGACATTCCATGCACTCCTTGAATTCCTTTTCACAGGCCTCCAGCTCTTCCTTCAGCTCCCTCTGCTTGTCCAGCAGCTTTTTCATCCGCTCTTGCAGCTGGTCATGCTCCTCCTGGCTGAGCTGGTACATGGCCTGCACTCCCTGCAGCTTGATCAACACCTTGGCAACCATGTCCTCAAAGTGCTGTGGAGGGCAGGGGGTAATGACGGCACCCTGAGAAGCACCTGCCCTCCACCCACTCTCTTTGCTAGGCCCTTTCTTGGGTACAAAACAACGGCCACAAGGATCTGAAGCTGCCCCGGGAGAATACTGCATTTCTTCCCATAAACAGCGAGATGACTGTGTTGATGAAAAGTCCCGAATCTTGGACTTCCATCCAGATGGAAGCATCTCCATATTAGATGGGCAGACTGCCTCATTCATTTCCAGTAAGTTACCCAGCTCAGCTCTGACCCCATTGCCCACCTCACTTCTTGTGCCCTTCCCCTGGTGACTTATTGCTTAATAAGACAAGAACCTTCTTTCCCTGTCAGGCCTGTCATCTGCCTACTATTACCTCTATATCATCAGGCTCAGCAGGTTCGTCATCAGTGCTGCTACTGACGTAACTCTTGTGACAGGTGTCAGAGTTACTGCTGCTGCCATAACTCTTCTTATAGGTGATGCTGCTGCTGCTGGTGCGGTAACTCTTCTCACAGGTCTCACTGGTACTGGTGCTACTGCCATAGCTCTTGAGAAGGCTCTCGTCGCTGGCCTGGGTGCTACTGTAACTCCTGTGATAGCTCTCGCTGTCATCAACGCTGCTACCATAACTCTTGTGACAATTCTCGCTGCTGGGGGCCATGCTATCGTAACTCTTCTTGTAGGACTCAAGGCTCATTTTTATAGAGGGGGACTGGACTTGGAGCAACTGCATTTCTTCCAGGCAGAGCTGTAAGTCGGCCTGCAGCCTCTTCCGCTCCTCTAGGAGCCTCCCCTGCTCCTGCTGCAGCAGCTCCTGCTCAGTCTGACTGGCCTCGTATAGCTCCTGCAGAGCCTGCATCTGGGCGATGATCGTCTTGGACTGCCGGGCGTAGGGTGGGGAGACATCAGCGTTACTCTAGACACTGCTGCGTGCCTCCTGGCGCAGATGTCTGAGAGCACACTTGAGAAAACTGCACACCTACACACTCCAGTCTCACCACAGCCTAGGTCTTGGACTTAGTCTACAAGTAACTGGCATGTGTCAGTTTCTTGCTCACTGGGGAAAATCTTCCCAGGGCAGATACTCCAGGATTTCCAGGCTGCCATTTCTGCTGGTTTCTGTGCTGCAGTACATCCCTCTGTCCTTAAAGCAGAGCTGAGTGGGTCTCAAGATCACTCTGGCTCCCTTCCCTACCCTCTTCTCAGTCAGATGTAGTCACTATCATGACCTTTAGCCTCAGTCCCCTCCCCAACGCCCAATTCTAAAATCAGCCCTGGTCTTGAATGTGAGCACATGAAGAACTACTTCCTCAGAAGATGTGGACTTGGAATCAAGGTCTCACTACAAGTCCCTGTACCTCCTGAATCTGGCCTCTGGGCATGTGTCCCAGGCCCTCTCGGCCTGGCTTCCTGGCTGCTGATGCCCAGGATGAGATTTGATCGGTTAAGGAAATATTTTATACCTGGTTCCTGGTCTCTGTGTTATCCAAGCTGAAATCTGACGCCCCTGGAATCTGATCAAATCTTACCGTTTAGACTTCTGCTATTCCCTGGATCTCCCCATCCAGGCTAATATCTGAATGAATAGCTTTAGCCTAAAATGAAACTGTCTACCTGCTTTTCCTTGCCTCCACTGAGACCTCAGATCAAATTCATCCCCCAGCCCTGAATAGACGTGTATGGAAACCTCCACTAGTGTGACCTCAGAGGTGTGACCTCTTGCTGGTGCTTGAGACGCCATCGATTCTCTAGTCTAACCCCTGACCTGGCTGTTATTGCCACCAAAGTTCCAAAGAAGACGGCGTGGTCAGTACCAAGAACCCCACATGCTAGGAATTCTTCCCTTGGAAATGAATGGCCCCAGACTTGCCTCATACAGAACACCAAAAGGTTATAGATTTTGATCACTGAAAAGTATACTTCTCAATTATCAACCAGCTCATGAGAAAAGGATGACATGTTTAGAGTCATTCCCAAGGAATCCAAATAAACACTAAGTTGACATTACACATCTGGAAAACGATATGCTGAAGGGATTAAGTCAAACTATCAGGAGATTACAGACTTGTGGGTCATCCCCACTTTAAGTGCTCCCAGTGCTTCAATTGGGCGGGCATCTGGGTGAGGTCCTCAGGCTGTATCTACAGCCACATCTTAATTAACCCAAGAGTGGTCATGGCTGGGGACGGGTAGGGCTTTAGTCTCATCCTTACTCCTGGCCAAACAGGCCTTCCTAACCCTGACCCTTCTGTGGAGCCCCTTTCTCTGCCATGCTGTTGCCCCCAGAACTATCTCCCTGCCTCTTGCTATGGTTACCTTGTCATGACCACATTTTGAGGACTTAGGCGATTTGGAACCCTCAGGATTCTCCAACACTTCCCGGAAACGAGACTCTTTGAAAAGTTGTAGCTCTTCATGCAGCTCTAATTGTTCTTTTAATACACATTCTTGATTCTGAATCAGTTTTTTCTGCTCCTCCTGCATGCCTTGGTAGAGCAGCTGTAGTTCGCACAAGTCTTGTAACTTTGTGAGTAGCTCCTGACTCTGTGAGGTAGAGTGGAAGGAAGCGGGCAGGAACTATGGTGGTTAGGTGGAAAGACCTCTGCCTCCTTCCTGCTGGGCACCCTTCCCTCAGGAATCTCTGTGTTGGCCCTGCACAGCCCTTCTGGGACAGGGGGAATCCTTCCATGGAGACCTGCTAGTTGAGTAGTAATGATCAAGTATGTTTAGATATATTTTGTAGTTTATACAGTGCTTTCAAATACATTTTCTCCAGATAGACTAAATATCGAAATATAAAATGCTGGACAGATTCCATAGTATAAAATGTATTTTAAGATTTACAATGCTAATCAGCTATATTGAACTTTTTGGTTTGAGGAGATTGGTGAGAAAGGAATGGTTGGTTAAGAAAAGAAGTTCAGTCCCCACCTTTTTATTTTTCCCCAGTATAGTCACACCTAGGAAGCTTCTCAAAGCAGCTTCTCCATAGTTAGCAGCCCTTCCCTGGCTGTGGTTACCTTATGGAAGAGACCAGATCTGGGGAGCGGGAACGTGAGCCTGTGCAGCTCTTCTTGCAGCTGGCCCTGCTCCTCCTGCATCCTCCTCTGATTCTCCAGGAGCTCACACTGCTCCATTTGCAGTTGCCCCATCTCCTTCTGGCTGGCCTTGTACTTTTCCTGCAATTCTGTCAGTCTGGCCAGCACTGTATCACACTGTGGATGGGGCAGGTGTGGAAGGGTGGTTACTCTATAAGGTATTTCCCTGCACTGTGTGGCTAGCAGAGCACTTCTGTGCTCTCCCGCCTCTTTAGTTCACCAGGGTCTCCCTCCCTGTACAGTCACCTTGGACTGATCATCCCAAGCCACACTGCACCCAGACAGGCCTAGATGCTGAATGGGAACCCAGCAGGCTGCTCGGGACTGCTGTTTGGCTGTGCTCTAAATTTCGTCTACTAGTCCCTTCCGAGGGCAGTTTGAGAGGGGGTGTAATCAATGCCCCTCCCCTCTTATTTCCCCACCTCCCTTTCCTCTGGCCCTTTCCTCCGGTATATGCCATTTTCCCACTCTGCTAGGAATTCTAGTTCCTGTTATTCTCATTATCCCCAGTTGTTTTTATACCTAATTATGCTCCTTACCAATAAAGACTTAATTTCACCCTAACTTTTCCCATTTTTTTATCATCATCTTTTAAGATCTTCAGAAAAATATGAGCTATTGTTGAATTTGGATTGAGAAGACAAAATCATCCCATGATTCCAAAAACCCAAATCTTCTAATATCAAACTAATCTCAATGCTGTTTCATAACCAGAGAAAAAGCTGGCTCTGTACGCCACCATGCTTCTCCCTTCCCATAGTCTCTTCCACTAGGAGAGGAAGTGAAGAGCAAGTCGTGGGCCCCCTGGACTCCTAAACTGAGTGGGAATGGAGGAAGAGGGAAATGTGAGCCTGGGTGCAGAAAGGCAAGACTGTTGAGGCAGGCCAAATAACCTGCCCAATTCTGTGTCTTCTGAAAGCCTTTCTCCGGGGACACAGCCTGCTGTTGGCTGTGGCAAGAGCTACTGAGTATTCTGGCAGAATGTGATTTGCTCCTCCATCTTTTGAGAATCTTGTGCCTTTTCTCCATCATGCTTCAACGTCTTAGCATTTTCTATCAGTGATCAGGAGCTGAAAGTGCTCAACACAGAGTAACTAATAACGACTTACATTTTACACACTATGGAAAAAAAGAAAATGAGGAAGGCCTTATTTACCACTATCAGGATTTATTACTAAAAGGAAGTGAGATAAGAGTAGTACTCTGTTCAATTCAAAGAGGGTAAAATTCAAGCTTAGAGAACTTAACTACTCTGAAGTCACAAATAAATCCTGGAAGAACCTAGGTCCTTCTAATACCCAATCAGCGCTCCGGGCACAAGACCACGCCATCTGACAAGAGCATCTGCAATCTGCCTCATTTGAAAACTGCACCTTCTCTTCCTGGTTCTAACAATCATGGTTGTGTGTATGGGCCTATGTGAATGTTCTTCTCCACAAATAACAAGATATCACTACAGTTTTAATAACAAGGTATAAATGTCTACACATATGGAATCATGTGTAAAACCTTCAGGTGGTCAGACTGGATCCAGATGAACTGATCCATTAAGCTGTGGCTCGGGCTAAAGGTCAAGGCAAACTGTTTTAAAGTTAACAGCATGGTCTGCCTCTGTTTCCTGCTTTGCCACACTTAGCTGTGAGTGGACAGAAGCTCATCAAGCCCCTTGGGTGGATGACTTCATCTTTTGCCCTTATACCTCCTTTCTCCAGAGGAAGCGCCTAGAAGATCTCACCTCTCTTAATTACAATTACCTTATTGGCACATTTTCCCTTGTCCTCCGGGATGGGCTGGGTGGTCTTGAGCTGCTTCAGCTCCAGTTGGTAGAGCAGGAGGTCCTGCTCAAGCTGATCATACATGTGCGTCTGTCGCTCCAGCTCATCCTTGCTGGTTTGGTACAGCCGCTTCATCTCCTGAAGCTGGGCGTGCATCTCTGTGTTCTGGGGCAGGGGAGGTAGGCCTCGCCATCATCCCAGGAACCCCTGTGGCTGCACTCTCTCCTCTCAGGCAAGGACTAAGGGGATCCTCCCTGTCCTGTCCAGTCCCAATGGGGGCTACCCGAGATGGACCAGTCCCTACTAGGTTCTACACAGAGTCCTTTTGGGGCTTCCTTTTTGGGGAGGTGGGGAAGGGAAAGGGCTTCCTTCTTATAGGCTGATTTTCTGATTTAAAATCAAAGGAAACTGAGAGCATCATGACTCTCTGGGATCACCTGTCTACTAAGCACCTCTTTATCTCCCTCACCAATAGCTATGCACTCCATAGAACTCCTACCATTCCCACTCCTCCTCTGCACTGTTTCTCTCACAGAAGACTCCACCTTGCTACATTCTCCCTCACCTGAAGCTTCTTTTACCTTCTCATTGCTCTCTTGGAAGGAGGCCACGATGTCCTTGAGGCGCTGCACCTCTGCCTCATAGTACCGCAGGTCCTCCCGCAGCTGTTGCTGCACTTCCTGCAGCTTATCCTTCTCACACATGATGTTCTGGTACTGGAGCTGCAGCTTCTGTAGCCGGCACAGTAACTCCTATAGTGGAGGGGGCCTTTGGGCAGTACATGTGGGATCCTCAACCCACTCACTCTTCTGCCTGAGTCACTCAAACACGGACAGTCTAAGAATCGACTTCTCCCTGCCCTTCACTTACTGGTTTCCTCTCATCTAACAGAGTACTCAGTGGTGGCTGGAGTTCTTCACCTGTGGTGCTGCACAGGTGGTAGCTTGAGGTATTTTAACTCTCTGCTCTTATCCACCTTCCCCAAAACCACTTAGCACCTAACTTGCCCCTCACTTCTGGGTGCTGTTACCTTCTCACTTTGGCTTTCTGTGACTGTGGATTTCATGACTTTGAGCTGCTGGAGCTCAGTCTGAAGTTGTAGCTGCACCTTCAACAGCTCATTCTGCTCATCCTGGCTAGCATCATACTTTTGCTGCAGGGCAGAGAGTCTGGTCTTCAGCTCCTCGTTCTGTGGTGGGGAGGATGTAGGTAGAACAGTTACACTCAACAAACAGCAGACCCCTCTACCGACCAGTTTGGTTCTTTTCCAGATGCGGACATCTTGAGGAGCTCCCACAGGTCTATCGTTTCATTTCTTCTCTGAGGCAGGTACTCAATAATGACTACCATTTCTAGAATGCAATGCTATGCGACTTCTCCATTTGGTCACCAGTAGACTGTACCCTTGGTTGCAGGGCAAGAGTCAGCAGAGCACACCCTTACTCTGCATTCATCCTCCCCTGAAGCAGCAGCTCCATGTAGGCCCTTCTGCCCTCCCCAAATGCCCTTCCCCTGACAGTGTTTACCTGGGTGACATTGTGGCAAGTCTGAAACCGAAGCACCTCATTCTGCGCGCACTTGAGCTCCCTCTGCAGCCGTCTCTGCTCCTCCTCACTGGTCCGGTGATGATGCTGTAGCTCTTGCAACTCACAACACAGTTTCTTACACTGTGCGGAAACGGAACAGGAAGGCTGATTTACTACGGGTACCACGTGCACTCCAAGAACAGGCTTGAGCAGAGTATGGCATTCCTTTTATTGGAATATTTACATCAGGCAAGCAAGTAAGACCCCAAAGTACTATCTCCTGCCATAGTGCATGCCTCTTTTGTCAGCCCCATGCCTAAGAAGATGTTTCTACTGCAGGCCAGGAGAAGGTAAAAGAGACAGAGTGAAAGGTGCCTGCCTTTCCCTACCTTGTTCTGCATGTCATGCATCTGCTCCTCAGCTCCCAGCAGCTGCTGTCGCAACAACTGGGTTTCAGGATCAGGCTCTAGGAAATCCATCTCTGAAGTCTGAGACTCTGCCGACATCATACTCTTTAGTGTTTGGGACTCCAGCCACCTTTCTGTTGCTCTTCGTGTCCTGTAATCCAGAACCCCAGAGCCATGTTTGGGAGACACCTCTGCTGGCATCATCTGTCAAGTGTGCTTGGTCCTGAGGCTTTCATTTTAGGCAAAAGATGGTAAGGAGCCTTCTATTGTGATTTACGTCTCAAATAAACACACTTAGAAGATTAGAGAAAAAGTCCCCAGCACCTGAGTCTGCAAAAGCATGTCAGGCTCTGGGAGACCCTAAGACTGCTAGTCCAGTTGGGCTCGAGGCTGGGCCTGGTGTTAAGCCAGCTCCAATCTGGAGGCACGATGCTATTAGGCTGAATCAAGTCTGTGTGGACAATAAAGGAATCACTTCTGATCTACTCTAGGGCAGAACAAACCAGACCCCCAATGCCTAGAATGGAAGAAACTAAATTTTAGAACTCACTCAACTCTAGTCCTGAGATAATTGGGTTGGATCCCCATGCTTGCTTCTAGGCAAGCATGTATCTGTATCCTTTGGATACCATGAAAAAGACTGGCTTTCCAGGAGCAGAGGGAGGCTCATTAGCCGGGCATCTGTCTTCACCAGTTCTACTCAGGGAAAAGCCCAAGGCAAAGTCCTACAGAGCCCACTAGCCTCCTGGCTGTACCTCTCACTCTCCAGGTCTGCAAGCTGCCCTGTGAGGCTGCTGTTGCTCTCCTGCAGGGCCCGGTACTCCTCGTTCAGGAAGCGGTAGCGTTCCCGCAGTTGCCGCAATTCTTCTGCAGAGGTCAAGCGGAGAGAGGTGAGATCCTAGGGAGGAAGCAGTGGTGACCAGCCCCAATTTTCCTGCCTAGAAAGCTGATAGGAGAAGGCTGAATAGCTTCTCTTTTTCTAAATACAGAGGAGATACCACATGCAGAGGCTTAGACGACAGGGCCCAGAAAATTCCACACTGCCATGGGTCTTTGTCCTCTTTCAGGTAGCTGCCCTTCTTTTCATCTTCCAGAAGATTTGCCCTGTGTGCTCATCTTCAAAACCCTAACCAAGGCAGAGTCTGGAGACTTTAGGAGCTTGTAAGGGCTTTAATTAAGTTTTGCTTTATTGTATTTAAAGTTCTCATTGAACTGTTTATGATTACCTTCCTATTACGCTTTTAGTACAAAAGCTGAGAGATATGAACTGCCAGACGTCACACTGCCAATCCAGGCATCCTGAATGTCCTTTTACTTTCTCCATCACCACAAAGAATACACTGGACTGCATGTGGTCAAGAATTCTTTCTAATGACCTTTTCTCTTCAACAGAAAAGTCCATCCCAACCAGACTCACATGTCATCCTCAAGCATCAGCAGAGATCTGGCTGAAATGCTCTAGCACATGTCCCTAAGTACCAGGTACCAACAATTTTTAGTGCTGCAATGATACAAACGCCCAGATCTGTTTTGTTTCTTCATGATTAAGAACTATTTCTCGGGGCTGGCCCCATGGCTTAGCAGTTAAGTGCGTGCACTCTGCTACTGGAGGCCTGAGTTCGGATCCCGGGTGCGCACCGACGCACCGCTTATCTGGCCACGCTGAGGCAGCGTCCCACATACAGCAACTAGAAGGATGTGCAACTATCACATACTACAACCTACTCGGGCTTTGGGGGAAAAAAAGGAGGATTGGCAATAGATGTTAGCTCAGAGCCAGTCTTCCTCAGCAAAAAGAGGAGGATTGCCATGGATGTTAGCTCAGGGCTGATCTTCCTCATCAAAAAAAACAAACAAAAAAAGAACTATTTCTCTCTTATTAGAATACTAATTCTACTGACATTTAAAGGACACTAACTTGCTCTACTTAGAACACAAGGCCTATCTTACCTGCCGTAAGATTCAACACCCTGAAAGTCACTTCTAATGTTCCCTCTTTATTTCAGTCAGAAGTCCTTAGAATACTGCAGATCACCATAGAAGGAAGGAAGGAAGGAAACTAATCTTTAATGAAAACCAACCATGCGCTAAGCATTAGACTCAATGGTTTCAGCCTTAGATTCAGTCAGTGTGTGAGTGCTTTCAACATGCTAGGCATTTCATTTAATCCTCCAAATACCCTGAAAGGTTTTCTTTTCTTTTTTTTCCAATAAACTTTTAATTTTACAATAGTTTTAGATTTACAGAAAAGTTGCGAATATAACGTGGAATTCCCTGGGACAGTTCTTACTTAGTTTCCCCTATTGTTAACATCTTACTGTGGGTACCTTTGGCATGTCTAAGGAATCAACATTGCTACATTACTATTAACTAAACTCTATACTTTGTTCAGATTTCTCTACTTTTGAGAGAAATCTGGTCCTTTTCCTGTTACAGGTTCCCATCTAGCTATAAAGTTTTATTAACCATGTTTTACAGATGTGGACACTGAGGTTCAGAGAGATAATAACCAGACTAAGTTCATCCTGCTAATTAGCAGAGCTGAGATTCTGAACTCAGGTCTGTTTAACTCCAGCCCAAGCCTTTCCACTGTGCTAGCCTCCCTCTCCTAGCACCACTAGTCCAAAGGCTCTTCTGAGAGGCTTGTTACAGCTGGGAAAACTTGCAATTTTTTGCTTCCTTGTTGATTGCCCCTGCTTGACCTGGCCTAATATAGGGCCTCCCATTATACCCAGATCATAAATCTAGCCTCAGAATAAAGGCAAACTCTCTGATGTCACGAATCCTAGCAACTGGCTGGGAAACTCACTCTCTGAAAGCAGAGCTCTGAGCTTTGAGTACCTCATGCATTACTGGAAATAACCTCTCTTCCTCTCCAGCTGTCTTGTGCTCTCATTTGTTGCTCTCTAAAGCTTCTACTTTGGGGAGGGCTTAAGAAGCCTAAGAATTAGCATCCTGGGACCTCGGACCAGAATTAGAGGTCCCCCAAAAGCAGCCCAGGCAAAGCGCCACGATGCCAGAGCAGCAGGAAGAGTTTCCCAAGGTGACAGGCCCCTGTACTCCCATCCCAGAACTGGAAACTTTCCCAGGAAGGGTTTTAGCATAGTCAAATCCACAAATGCCCAATGGCTCTCCAAGGAAGAATTCTCAGAGTACATCTCCATGGTGCCATTTCTTACACCACTAAGGACTGGTTATGTGACATCTGGGTAAGTTTTTCTCCCTTAATGTCTTGAATTCAACCTGGAAGTTTTTTCTAGAGGTTCCCAATTCATGATCTAAGACCATTCACCATCTTCTTGCACACTATCTCCCTCTGTTTGACTCTAATAACAGACCAGGAGGAGGGCCTGCTCTCTCATACCTTGCATCTCAGAGAAATCTGAGAGACTTAAACTATTGGATGGGTCAGAGCTCTTCATTTCCATTTCTGCACGGAGGGAGGTGATCTCCATCTCATACTCTCCCCGGATGCGCTCCATGTCATCAAGTTCATTCTGCATCCGGCAGAGATCCTCCTGCAGGGATGCTATGTCACTCTCATGTTCAGTCGCAGAATCCTCTGCTGCTTGTCGCAGATTCTGGATCTCAGCCTGGGCCAAATGCAACTCTTGTTCTATTTCCTTAAGTTCACTTTCCTTCTCACGCTCTAACAGGGAAATTTCCTCCCGTAGAGACCGCAGCTCACCTGCAAAGCCCAGAGGTTGGAATGGTTAAGAGGATAAGTGAACTAATCTACCATGTTCTAGAGGCACAAAATTAAAGGTAGACTTAGTTCTCATCTGGAAACTCTTTGACAACCTAGTCTCTACCCCATCAGAGAAGTATAGCTTTATCTGGTATGGAATAAAGGGAATACCTAAGAAGGGAATAGAGAGTGAATCTATATAGTAAGGGACAGTAGAAAGGTAGATTTTAAGGCTTGGCACCAAAAGCAACAATTTAGGCTACTACAAACAAAAAGTATTAAGTGCTTCTAAGGAATCGCCTGACAATTAAAGACCAAACCTAATTTACAGTATTTTACTGATGCCCTGAGTCTTTCCAAAAATTCCCTGACTTAAAAAACTTACAAGACTATTCTCATCTATTCAGTCTGGGAGCTTAGAAATTACAGAACCTCAGAACTCCCACGAACTGCCTGTGGTAAGTACTGGCCCCCAAACAATGTATATTTAGAGTTCAGAGCTGAAATTCAAATGTAGGTTCATCACATGATACGCAAACATGGGAAAAGAACTTAAATGCTGATCTATAAGGGATTGTTTAAACTGATGATGGTTAAACAGAATACCATGCAGCTCAGGGGGCCGGCCCCGTGGGGTAGTGGTTAAGTGTGCACGCTCCACTGCTGGCGGCCTGGGTTTGGATCCCGGGCGCGCACCAACACACGGTTTGTCAGGCCATGCTGTGGTGGCGTCCCATATAAAGTGGAGGAAGGTGGGCACGGATGTCAGCTCAGGGCCAGTCTTCCTCAGCAAAAAGAGGAGGATTGGCATGGATGTTAGCTCAGGGCTGATCTTCCTCACACACACACAAAAAAGAATACTATGCAGCCATCTAAAAGAAAGTGGCAGATCTATAGAGAAGACATTGAAAAGGTTTCCATGATATATTAATTAGAAAAAAAACAAGCTGTAAAATACATGGTATTATCTTATTTTTGCAAAAAATATTTATATGTATAATATATAACACACAAATATACAAAGACATAGAAAAAGGTCTGGAAAGATCTATGTTCCAAACCATAAAGAGTAGTTGCTTCTGAGAAGCAAGATAGTATGTGATGGGGACTTTTACTTTCCACCTCAAATATATCTGTGCTGTTTGAATTTTCACAACAAGGCTTTATTTTATAATAGATTTTAATTTACAAAAGAAATGTGTCAGAGCTCTCAGTATCTGTGGAGCATCTCAGGGTTTCTGGACACAGGTGCCCATCTGGGATGAGGAGAATCTAAAAGTGCACAGTAAAAGGCACTGACACCAATACAGAATTCAGGATTTGGGGGCCAGGATTAGGAAATTAATGAGGATTGGGTTGAGAGAGTCAGGGTCTTCCCACAAACCCTTTGTAAGGCACATTTGTCCCCATCCCTCACCCCTAGATTCTACTCACCATTCAGATTTCAACTTTCCCTAGTCTCTCCCCTGACCTCCTCAAAAAACTAATCAAAGACCTCTATTAAGTGCTCTCATATCACCTGTACTTTGCAGTGTGTTTGTGTATAAAACCTTGGTCTCTCTCTCACTTGATTATAAGCTTTACGAAGGCAGGGAACACATCTGTTTTGCTCACCATTACAGCTCCAGGGTCTGTCATAGCACCTGGCATAATGCAGCTCACTAAATATTTGCTGTATTCATGCATAAATGAGGCAGGGGTTCATCTCTGCAACACACTTTTACCGAGTACTATAGGTACAGAATTACATGTTTAGGTATTTTTTAAAAATTAGAACAGAACATAGATGTTTGAGAAGAAAAATCTGGACATCCTGCAGATATAAATGCTGAGTGGACAGGGTGTCTGGGGAGCAGGGAGGAAGGTCTCCTGCCCTACTCTCCCAAGCTCACATGCGCAGCTCCAGGCACATCTTTTGCCAATCTTTCCTTCTCTAGAACGATCCTAGCTGTCTCCTCTCTATTCAACAGTATTAATTGATCATCACCTCTGGGCCAAGCCCAAGCATATCCACTTAGATTCTCTGACTTCCGTCCTATTGGAAAGAAACAAAGTCCTTGCTCTACCCACTACGGAACAGCACAGAGGCGGCCTGCCTCTTGGCGCCTACCGTCTGGTGAGGGAGACACACAAGTCAACTGGCTGTTAGGATATAGGCCCTAGGGCCGGGCTTTCTGTGGGGAGCTGACCCACTTCCTTACTATGCCCTTGATGTTAGGGTTCAAATCTCACTTAGGTTCTCCCCTGGAGTCTAGCCCTAAAAAATGACATTCTCAGATCCACTGGGGAATGGGGGAGGTCTCCCTCAGCCTAAGGAAGCTCTGAATCAGCAACAAGACCCGGCAGGACCCGCCTGGGGGAGGGGCTTGTCCGGAGCTGGGCGGGGCGGACGCTGGCTGGGGCGGGCCCAGGCTGGGAGTTGGAAGGGCCTGACCCGGGTTCCGAAGAACTGGCGCCGGTTGAGAGTGGGGCTGGGACCGTCGGGACGAGGCCCAGGGCCCGGGAGTCGGGCTGCGAGGCAGAGATGTCGGTTCTCACTCACTGGTTATGGCCTCCATTTCGTCGGCCCCCCGCAAGGGTCTCCCTGGGGGGCCTCCCGCCGCCGGCCGGTCCGGCCCCCGCGGGGCTGTGGCGGCCGGAACGGCCTCTCAACACCAGCTACTTCTGAGGCCGCGCGCGCCCCCTCTTGGCGGAAACGGGCAACGCGCGTGCGCAAGGACGGTCTCTGTTTCCCCTCGTGGGATGGGGCTTGGGCGCCTTCACCAGACCCGCGGGGCGCCACCGACCTCGCTAGGATGAGATCTAGTGCTAGCTAGCAACAGCCCTGAGTGGGGAATCGCTCTAGAACTTTATTTTCCCAGGCAGTTGCCTACTGGCATCGCTACTTAGATTCTCTGACTTTCCTATTTGAAAGGAAGAATGTCACTTCTCCAAGCAAAGGCCTTTTTCTGCTCTACTGGATCATTTCCTTCATCATACAAACATGATCTAGTGTGTCCTATTTCAAAAAACACGAAAAACTCGCCCCTGACTTCATTTCTCTTTCCCTTATTTCTCTGCTTCTCTTCAAAACATGACTACTGGAAAAACCTTCACCATTTCACCTCCCCTTTCCTCTTCAATCCCAATCCAATCAGGTTTCTATCTTCACTAAAATGTCTCAGAGCCCTCTATCTTGCCAAATCCAATGGTCATCTTACTTGACTTAGCAACTTTTGACACAGTGGGTCATTATCTCCTTGAAACACTTTCTGTGTTTGGCTTCCAGGGCATGAAATGCTTCAGTAGTTCCTCGTAGGTCTGTTTCTTTTGTTAATTTCTCCTTTTACGTTGGACCTTTAAATACTGTAGTACCCCTGAGATTGGACCCTTTTCTCTCTTCTTCCTATATCTCTCCATGTGATTCATGATGATCTCCCATGGATTTGAATGCCATATATATGCTAATAACTCCCAAATTGATGTCTCCAGCCCTGATTTCTCCCCTGGTTCTAGATTCATATATCCAACTGCCTCCCTAACATATTTACTTAGACATCAAGAGCCATTTCAAACTCGACATGTAGGAAACATGTCTTAAATGGTTCCTCTAGCCCCCAAACTTGTTCCTTGCCAAGTCTTCGCCATTCCAATAAATGACACCACCATCCATCCAGTTTCTCAGGGTAAAGTCTTCTTTCATGTCTCTCTTATCCCCTCCCCCATCTAACTCAGCAAGTCCTAAGGGCTCCACCTTCAAATTATATTCCAAATCATCTCCATTTCTACTGCTCTAGTCTGAGCAACCATCATCTCTTGACTGAACTATTGCCATAACTGGCTGACCAGACTCACTGTTTTGCCTCCTTTCCCTCCACCCAATTTCCACACAGTGCCAAAGTGCTCTTTTAAAAATGTAAAGCAGATCATATCACCCTAGCCCTGGCTAAGACCCCCCCATGTCTTTCTACTATGCTGTGAATAGAAGCCGAACCTCTCAGCTGGCCTACAAGGCCCTTTGTAATCTGACCTCTGCCTGCCTCTCACAACTCTCTCTTACCAGAGGCCTCCACATGCACTTTGCTCCAGCCACAATGGCCTTTGTTCCGTCCCTCAAACACATGCAACTCATTCTCACCTCTGGGCCTTTGCAGTTGCTGTTCCTTCTGCCTCGTGTGCTCTTCCCTCAGATCTTTGAATGGCTGGATCCTTCTCATTATTCAGGTCTTAGCTCAAATGTCATCTTCTCAAAGAGGACTTTTCTAACCACCCATTCTAAAATAAACTCCCATCCCAGCCCATCTCTCTATACCATATTGTTATATTGTCTTCATAGCATTTATCGCCACCTGAACTTGTGTTGTTTATTTGTTTATTTTCTGCCTCTCCCCATTAGAATGTACTCTTCATTAGGGCAGGGATCTGGTCTGTCTTGTTCAAAGCTGGTCCTCCAAGTATATAGAATCTGTTAAATAACAAAAATTCAACCAAGTAAATCTGAAGATCTAATTGGCTTTATTCAATGATTCATGAATCAGGCAGCATCCCATCTAGCAAATAGAATGGAACTCCAAGGAGCTGTACAAAATGGAAGGCTTTTATAGGCAGAAAGGGGCATGGACAAGGAAAGAACAGATTACCTCATTTTTCTTGGGGAGATGGAAGGGGTCTATCAGTTGGATTACCTCACTCTTGCTGACCAGGAAATTCCAGATTAACTGGTTAAAGGTCACATTCCTGGAAGAGGCTGAGACTGCAATTAAGTCTTGGTTTGCGGATATGGGGGCTTAGCACAAGTGACTCCATTTTGGGCCTGTTGTTTCCTTTTTAACAGCACTCAATAAATGGCTGATAAACAAATGAATTAGCCTCATTTTACAGATAAGAAACCAAGTCTCAGAAAGAAAGTCTTGCCCAAGATCACAAAGTTCGTTATGTGGCACAGCTGGGCCCAAGAATCTAGGTGACCTGACGGGGCCGGTCCTGTGGTGTAGCAGTTAAGTGTGTGTGCTCCGCTGCTGGTGGCCTGGGTTCAGATCCCGGGGTACGCACCAATGCACCACTTGTCAGACCATGCTGCGGTGGCGTCCCACATAAAGTGGAGGAAGATGGGCACGGATGTTAGCTCAGGGCCAGTCTTCCTCAGCAAAAAAAGAGGAGGATTGGCAGATGTTAGC